TCACCACCATCCCCAGGACCATCCCCATCACCACCATCACCACTACCATCACTGCCATCCCCACCACCATCACCAGCATCACCACCACCAGGAACAGCACCAACAGCATGTTCACCTCCACCACTGCCATCAGAACCTTTCACTTTCACCATCCCCTCCACCATTACTGCCCCCATCCCAGCCGCCACCATCACTGCTGTGACTACCTTGTCAAACCATCACTGTCTGAACTGACAGAGGAGCCCTCATGAGCCCTCATACAACATGGAGGAAAGACCCATTGGGAAGTGCAGAAGGAGGAGGGCTCCCCTGCTTTCTAGGAACCCAGGGGAAAAGGTCAAGAAGCTCAGGCCCTGCCACAGCCCTGGCTTCTCCTACACCCCACCCCTGCTGGAGACAGTGTCTTCTCAGCCTGCCTCTGAGCCTCCTCCCACACCCACAGAGAGCTGGTCTCCCACAGGTGTGATCCCTGTGGTTTCCCAGTGCCGGAGGCAGCCGTGGAGAGAGAAACCCAGGAGAGAGAAAACCAGGCGGGGAAGGGAGGGGAGGGGCCGAACCCTGGCAGGACCCACAGGATTGGCTGATGTGTGCCTTCCCAGCCAGCCCCTGACCAGAAGGTTCTCAAAGAGACAGTGACCTCAGCCACGGCCCTGAGCTCTGCCCGTCCAGCCATGCGGTGGGCACCCGCCAGGCGGAGCGGGCCCCAGGGGCCGTCCTGAAGCAGGGGCGAGGTGGGAGGAGGCCGCCAGGCTCCACAGGGGGCACAATGGACAAGTTCCGGATGATCTTCCAGTTCCTGCAGTCCAACCAAGAGTCCTTCATGAATGGCATCTGCGGCATCATGGCCCTGGCCAGCGCCCAGATGTACTCCGCCTTCGATTTCAGCTGCCCCTGCCTGCCGGGCTACAATGAGGCCTACAGCGCCGGCATCCTGCTGGCGCCCCCCCTCGTGCTCTTCTTGCTCGGCCTGGTGGTGAACAACAACGTGTCCATGCTGGCTGAGGAGTGGAAGCGGCCCCCGGGCCGCCGGACCAAGGACCCCGCAGTGCTGCGGTACATGCTCTGCTCCATGGCCCAGCGCGCCCTCATCGCGCCCATCGTCTGGGTGGCCGTCACGCTGCTGGATGGCAAATGCTTCCTCTGCGCCTTCTGCACTGCTGTGCCCGTGACGGTGCTGGGCAACGGCAGCCTGGCCCCTGGTCTCTCTGCGCCCGAGCTCGCCCGCCTGCTGGCCCGGGTGCCCTGCCCTGACGTCTATGATGGCGACTGGTTGCTGGCCCGCGACGTGGCTGTGCGTTACCTGCGCTGCATCTCCCAGGTGAGGGGGTGGCATGGCCTTGGCCTGGGTCTTCCCTCATGGCCCGGGTTCCCTCTGGCAAAGGTCTAATCCCCCACCTCTTGAAATGAGGATTCCTCAGGGCACAGTCATGTTTACCCCATAGATGGGAGCTCCCTACACTGGGCTGGGGCTTCCCCTCAGTTGGAGGTCTTTGGGGCAGGGGCACTTCCCAGCAGAGGCCAGGGCTTCTGAAGGCAGAGCTGTGTGTCTTCTCTGGATCCAGGCCACCTGGAAAAAGTGCTGTGGCTAGCTTAGTCCAGAGGCCTGTGTCCTGTCTTGAGGTCCCTAGAGTGGACCTAACAGCTCGGCCAGCCCCACATCCTCCATCCAGAGCTCCAGCTGGGAAGCCTGGTGTATTTGCATCATTTTCTCCTTCCAGGCCAGGGCAGTGGTGAGGCAGGTGGGTGGCTGGGCCATTTGGGTACATTTCCCTAGCAAATGCCCCCAGCAGGTGCTTCCCTACTCTCAGGGAGTGGGATCCGAGGGTCCCAGTACCCCTGGAAGGGAGGGCTTGGGTGAGGGGGATGCTCTGTTGGGATATGCCCTAAAGGCAGGGTTGGAGGGCCCACTGACAGGGAAATCCAGGGGAGGATTCCACTGTCTTGTCTTCTGCCCCTCTGGACCCGGCCCCCTTCTAAGCCCCCAGGCCTGCCCTGCACTCACGGCAGCACAGGGAGGAAGCAGCCCCATGTCAGAGGGGCAGGGAGGGTGCAGGGGGTCCGGCCTCCCAGGCCAGAGCTAGAGGAGCACTCTGCTCTGGCAAGTCCAGACAACCGGCTCCCTGGCTCTGGCCCTCCTGTGGGGCCCACATCCCCATCAGAGGCCCCTCGTGAATGTGGCTCTGAGTGTCCCAGCTTTGTTTTCCTCCCAAACCACTTCCTCCCTGTGGGCACTTGTGCCATTTTCCCAGGCCTCAGGGCCTCGGACAGCTGTCCCTCTGCCTGACCTTTAAACCACCACGTCATGAACTGAAAGGGCCCCCAGAGGGCAGGCTGCCTGGCCTAGAGACATGTTTCGTCTGGCCTTCCGGGTGAATTAAAAATTCAACTCGGCAATTTTGGAAAACCAAACGTTTTCACACAAAAATCAGACTTCCTGCTTTCCCTGAAACATGAGGAGACCCAGCCCCACGGGGGCCACATTGCCTGTCCGACAGGCACAGTAGATGCCTACATCCCCAGACCCAAAACGTGCTCTATAGCCTGGCAGCCCACGTGTGCTCGGCCACAAGTCCCCGGCCCCATTTACAGGTGTTTACCCACCTCTCTCATCCTGACCTGGCCAACGCTTCTCTGTGCAGCTGGGGGCTGACCCAGAAGCGCAGCTTAGGAGAGCCTCCTGCCCCATGCCTGTCGCTGAATTATTGGCAGAACGGGTCTGGCACCCAAATGTCTAGCGCTCTTCAGCACAGTTTGAGCAAGTGTCTGGTTTGTCTCTGTGACCCTTGAGGCCTAGCTCAGAGCCCACACAGAGGAGGCTCATTTAAGGCCAGCTCCCAAAAGGTAGACAACACCAGGAGCCGGAGGAGAGGAGCAAAGCTCAGATGAGGGTCCCTATGCCTCAGGAGGTCAAGGAAGAGGCATGGTTAGTGAGGGCCTGTTGACGTAATCGTAGTGGCTCATCGTTACTGAGCACCAACTGTGGACCAGGCACTGTGCTAGTCGTGATTACATTTAGTCCTCACAACAACCCGACGAGATCCATACTACCAACAGCCCCATTTTATAGGTGGGGAAACCGAGGCACAGAGAAGTCAGATACCTTGCTCCTGGTCAACTAGTAAGGACTGGAGACAGGGTCCAAAGCCAGGCGGCCTCAGTCCGAGGTCTGCCCAGTTATCTCCTGCGTATTGAGTGCCAGGCCCACACATGGGGCATTTTCCACACCCGATCACATTTCTACGAGATGGTGCATCTATGCCCATTGGACAGAAAAGGAAACGGAAGCCAAGAGGGGAAGTCATTTGCCTAGTCTGCACTCTCTCCTCTAAGGGCCCTGAGGGAGGGTGCTTTGGGGGGCTGTAGACAGGCCTGGGAGGCCAGAGGGCAGGGCCGGCCACTCTCTCCCGTCACCCCTGCAGGCCCTGGGCTGGTCCTTCGTGCTGCTGACCACACTGCTGGCATTCGTCGTGCGCTCTGTGCGGCCCTGCTTCACCCAGGCCGCCTTCCTCCAAAGCAAGTACTGGGCCCACTATATCAACATCGAGCGCAAGCTCTTCGATGAGACGTGCACGGAGCACGCCAAGGCCTTCGCCAAGGTCTGCATCCAGCAGTTCTTCGAGGCCATGAACCACGACCTGGAGCTGGGTCACGCCCATGGGGCGGCGGCCACGGCCCCTGCTGGCTCGGCTGCCCCCGAGACCACGGACGGGGCTGAGGAGGAGAGGGAGAAGCTGCGAGGCATCACGGATCAAGGCACCATGAACAGGCTGCTGGCGAGCTGGCACAAATGCAAGCCGCCCTTGCGGCTGGGCCAGGAGGAGCCCCTGCTGGGCAACGGTTGGGCGGGGGGCGGGCCCCGGGCTCCACGCAAGGAGGTAGCCACCTACTTCAGCAGAGTGTGAGCTGGGATGGAAGAGTGAAGCCTGCCGGTGCCACAGTACAAACTCCTGGAGCAGACCTATATGCCCAGGTGCTCACCTGCCCACTAAGGCAGGAAATTTGGGAGCTAGAAGGGGACATCAGTGCCCCAGCTGCGACACAGCAGTATTAGTCAGAAGGGCTCAGAACTGGCTGGGGGGGTCTGGGTGGACAAGCTCCCACCTGCCCAGCCCTCTCCCCAGCCAATTCATCTCTACTTCACGGTCTCCTCTCGGATCCCATGGCCACCCTCGCTGTGAATTTTTATGATCTCTGCCCCCTTATGCTCAAGGCTCAGGGAGTGGGTGGGCGTCCGGCTGTCTCACAAAGCAGGAACCCTCTGATTTGGGTCCATCTCCTGAGGAGATGAGGACATGGCCCCCAGCCTCACTTGATGTAACACACCTGCGGTGGCAGGAGAGGAGATAACATGCCAGAAGCTAGGTCTACTCAGCAGCAGCCAGAGCGTGTGGTCACATGGAGGCCACCCAACACCTGTCAAGTGGACTGTACATTTATTCAGTCCCGAGCACGAGAGTCTTCCTGTCTTAGCCTTGTGAAGCTGCTACAGCAGAACACCACAGACTGAGTCGCTTAGAAACAACAAAACTTGACTTCTCCCAGTTCTGGAGGCGGGAGGTCCAAGATCATGGGCCTGTCATGGTCATGTTCTGACAGAGGCCCTCTTCCTGGTTCAAAGTCAGGGCCTTCTCGCCATGTCCTCACAGGTAGAAGGGGCAGGAGGGCTCCCTGGAGCCTCTTTTCCAGGCACTGATCCCATTCACGAAGCTCTGCCCTCCTGACCTAAGCACTTCCCAAAGGCCCCACCCCCTCATGCCATCCCCTTGGGGAGTTAAGATTCAGCACGTGAATCTGGGGGGACACATTCAGACCACACCATCCTCCCTTGGAAGGCTCCTTGGAGACCACCTGAATGCCTCCTTCACATCCAAGTCTCAGGGAAATCAGACCTCCCCAGAGCTTGGGCACTTAGAAAAGAAACTGGTATCTTTCCATTTTCTCAAAACCCCTACCCTTGGGGAGGGGGCTCCAGAGTGCTAAGAGGCTTTGGCCTGAGGTAGGGATGAGGGTGGAGGGGTGGGGTTGGGGAGCTGCCTAGAGTAGAAACAGCTCAGACTCCAGAGCGAGAGAGAATTGGGTCAAAGGCTGGCTCTACCACTACCACTTACAGTGTCCCTCAGGCCAATTGTTTCCTTTTCTGTGCCTCAGTTTCCTTATCTATATAACGGGGATGAGGGCACCTACCTGACGGTGTTGTAATCAGGAAACAGGCGAAGCGTGTGAAGCTCGTGGGACAAAACAGGCCCTAGGTACATGGTGGTTAATGTAATGTAGATTCCTGCAACATTGCTTTTCATGATTTCCCTTCTTCCCATCTATTCTTCCCTCCATTCCCACTTCTGAGACCTGGTCTGCATTCCTTTCATTATTTGGGAGAAGGATGAACCTTGTAGGCCCAGGAGGCTGATGGAGAGGCTGGAGGGCTCCTCTGGGGGTGGGACTTCATCTAGGCCCTGAATGACGACAGGGTTCAAAGGCATAGAGACCAGGTCTATGTTGGTGGGTGGGGAGGGGCTTCCAGTGGGAAAAGCCAGTCCAGGATATCATGAGGTACAAATGTCAAAGAAAGAACAAAGGTTTGGGTCAAGCAGTTTGGGGTTTATGAACTAGAGCAGTAAGACCTCACCAAATCCCTCTAAACCTCAGTGTGTCTATCTGTAAGATAGAACTTTAAAAGGACCCACTTTTCACAAGTATGGTGAGAATAAAAAGGGTAACTTTGGAGGGAGAATCTGGAGTGGTGTTTGGCACATGGGAGAACCTGAATAATAAACACTGGTCTTTCCCTTCATCCCTGCCCGTGACAAGCACAGCTCAGGGAGGCCAGCATGGCACTGAGCAGTTCCGCCATCCTAGAAGTGCAAGCTCTCGCAGAGCTGACGGGAGACTGGGGGTCTCCCTGAATCACAGGTGTCATCTAGTCTGCCCCAGGACAGGGTTCTCCCCTTTAGCATTCTTGATCCATAACTTTTCAGCCTGGGCTTGCACACGCCCACGGATGGGGAGCTCATGACCACTTTCTGGGACAGGCTGGGCAGCTCTGATGGTAACAAACCTGCCTTGTTGTAATTTCCACCCACCACCCAGAGCTCTGCCCACACGGCCTCAGAGAATCACTTGCCAGCCCTCCTGAGATTTGAAGCAATACCTGGGAGTCAGCTGAAGTATGGATAGAAGAGTCAGCAGTCAGGAGGAGGACGGGCAGGGGCAGGAGGCCTCTGAGGGAGAAGAGCCAGAATAAGGTGCAGAGGCCCTGGCCCGTGCATCCTACTAGGGCTCCCCGTCAGTCTGATGGCATGGCCCACCCCTCCAACCCTGCTGGGGTCCAGCGGGAGTCCAGCATGGGGAGTGCTCCTGAAATTGGCAGGGAGGGCGGGCCCAGGCAGGATGTCCCAGCAGGCCCCCCTGCCTGGCCCCGGAACTGGTCCCACTGGCGTGCAGGCCGCAGGGGCAGCTGGCTCAGGGGGGAAGGCAAGGCCAGGCACAGGCCGGGCCACTGCCGCGGGCCGCTGAACAGGCAGCCCAACTTCCTCTCTTGCCCCGCCCTCCCTGCCCGCCCTCCCCTGCCTGGCGCCGGAGGGAGGCTGTTTTTCCACTCACGGCCTGCTGCACGAGTTCCATCCTGTTTCTTTCCTCTGCTTCCCTGGAGTTTAAAACTTCTTTGAAAACACCATCGAAAACACCACCGGCCCCAGGCCCTGCTGGTCTCAAGCTTCCTGCTCCGGTGCAGAAGAAAGCACGAGGGAGCCCGTGGACGGCACTTGGGGGGCCCGCCCTGCAGGCCCACGCCCCGCTGAGGCTGGAGCCACTGGTTGGCACCACAGCTGGCCCCAGGTAAGGAAGGGCCCCTCCCTGGGGCGTGCCGGGCAACAGGGGGAGCATGGCAGGACTGCTCAAGGCTGCCCAGAGGGATTGTCCTGGGGAGAAGGGCCTCTCACTGAGGCTCCTCTGGGCAGCCCTCTTCCAGGCTGTCTTGTCTTCTGCCCTGACTGCTGTTGTAGCAGGTCCCACCCAGGCCCAGATGTTTCAGTAGTCTCAGATGATGGCCTCATCCCTCCACTGCTCACCATCCTCTGTGTTCTGATATCTTGTACCCCACTTTGGGCAGATTATGAACCCAAGGCCCCATGAAAGCTCATGAGAAGCCCTGAAGTCAAGAGGCGAAAAGGAAGAGAGGAGCCTGCCTTTAACCCATTCAGTCCTGGCAACATTACAAACTCTTTCCCAGGGTGTAGGATGGAGTCCCTGCCCTGGGCATGGGAGGAAGAGTTAGATCCCTCCTCCTCCTGGCTCCCCACATGGTCACTGAGCACTGCCCATCCCATCTGGCAACACTGGCAGAGACTGGCATGGGGGGGTACTGCTGGCGTAAAGAGGCACAGAAGGAAATGTGGCAGGTCTCCCCACCTCTGTTTGCTGCCCACCCTATCCCTCCATTCCCTGGCTGCTTCTGACTGTGGAGTTTTGTTTTTTATCCCCCAGATGGGGAGAACATGGGCCACGCCCTAGGCTGTGTCTCTGCTTGTGCGGGTGGGGCCTAGAAAGGGACCCACTTCCTGGCACTACTGGAGCCCAGATCATGGCCGAACAAACTGGCGATGGGCTGGTGGGGATGGTCGAGCCTTGGCCTCCATTCTGTCACTGGCAGGCTGGGCAGCCCCCTGGGAGTCTGCTACATAGGGCAGGGATAACGGGCGGGGAAGGGAATGTTCGCCAGGACTCTCATGGTTGAGCACAGAGCAAGGGCCGGAGACCAAGAAAACAGAGGACTCACTTGGCTCAACCCACCTTGTCTGCTTCCCAAACCTCCTTAGGTCAGGCTCAGAAGTCCTGCCCAGACACCTCCGTGCTGTCATGGCCTCAAGTGAGGCATGTTCTCCTCTTTAGGCCTCAGATCTTGGCAGGAAAGAGAATCGTCCTCACTGCCTCACCTCTGGGAGTCACCCTAAAGTCTTGACAGGGTGAAATGGAGGGTCTCACACAGAGGACAATTGTCAGGCATCATTTATTCCCTTTCTTTTCCTGCCAGCATCCCTACGGGGAGACCAAGGGCCAGGAGGATTTATCCTCTTTTCACGGATGAGGACACAGACCCAGAAAAAAGTCATGGAGTGTGTTGACAGCCAGAATCTCCTAAAACCAGTCTGGACTCTGAGGTCTCTAAAACGGAAAGTTCTCATGAACTCTGGGACACTGTGCCTTGCTGGGCACTGACCAGACTCTTACCTCCACCCCACCCTATGCCACTGAGGCAAACCCATGCCCTTATCTCCCAGGACACCCACTGCAGCTGGGATGCCCATGGGCTAGAGGCCTGGAGGACAACAGCCCCCAATAGTCCTAGGATCCTCAGCGCCCTAGCACTACCGGGACCCCACATTCCCTGGCGCCACAGGGCCATCCTTAATCTCGACAGCAAGGGAAGCCTGTGGGAGTAACAAGAACCCAAGTGCCTGAGGCAGACGGACCTGAGCCTGAATCTCAGCTCTGCCGCTTCTGTGTCCCGGACAAGCCCCTCACCTCTATGCACACGGGACAGGGCAGCTCCGTGGGGGATCGTGATGATGGGTAGTGAGGGATAGAAAGCACCTGACACCCAGCAGGAGCTCAGTGAGCAGCTGTCACCATGTCCCCAAAGTCCCAGGGTTCCCCAAGTCTCCTCCTTTCTCACTAGCTTGGCCATACAGCATCCCCTCGATTCCTTTCAGTTTTCCAAGGCAAACATTTATCAGCTTCCTTTATCCCATAGGAAGCACCAGGCTGGCCACTGGAGGGGATAAAATGGCAAGACCGTGCCCTGCCTTCAGATACCCACCAGCCTCCACTCCCTCCTAGTCCCATCAGGAACCATCGATCCTGGTCTCCCCCGCCCCCAGCCTTGCCGACGGTCCCCGCCACTGACGCATCACCATGGCAGCCCTGATTGCAGAGAACTTCCGCTTCCTATCACTCTTCTTCAAGAGCAAGGACGTAATGATTTTTAATGGGCTGGTGGCACTGGGCACAGTGGGCAGTCAGGAGCTGTTCTCCGTGGTGGCTTTCCACTGCCCTTGCTCACCTGCCCGGAACTACCTGTACGGGCTGACAGCCATCGGTGTGCCGGCCCTGGCGCTCTTCCTCATCGGGGTCATCCTCAACAACCACACCTGGAACCTAGTCGCAGAGTGCCAGTACCGGAGGACCAAGAACTGCTCGGCCGCCCCCAACTTCCTCCTCCTCAGCTCCATCCTGGGCCGTGCAGCTGTGGCCCCTGTCACCTGGTCTGTCATCTCCCTGCTTCGAGGTGAGGCCTACGTGTGTGCTCTCAGCGAGTTTGTGGACCCATCCTCCCTCACAGCCGGGGAGAAGGGCTTCCCACCAGCCCATGCCACCGAAATCCTGTCCAGGTTCCCTTGCGGGGAGGGCCCTGCCAACATGTCGGGCTTCCGGGAGGAGGTCACCCGCAGGCTCAAGTATGAGTCCCAGGTAATGCTGTGCAAGGGGAAGCTCCTCTTCTTTCTTCCCTAGGCGACGGTGGGTGGGAAGGTACCGGGCGGGGGGGTCCAGTGTTGAAGCCAGAGCTGGTCCTCGGGGGCTAGGGTCTCCAGGAAAGCACTAGATCATCAGCATCAGTATCTGAGTTGGGTAGCCTGTGGCTTAGGACTTGGTGAGGCAAGTTTTAAACATTAAAGGAACGTTCTTCTGGCTCAGATTTAGGCTTGATCCTGGTCATCGCTACTTGTCCCAGATTGAGCACGAGCCCCTGTAAGCTTACGAAACATCCGCTGTCAGCTAGGAGTTGACAAGTTCCTATCCCCAGAAGGACCCCAGCCCAGCACCGAGGGAGCCCAGGTGTTGCTGACCTCAGGGAGTCCCCGGAGCCAGGAAGCGGCGGCTGCTGCCCTGATCCTAGCCTCAGCTGTGGCTCACTTCTGAGGGAGCACGGGTCTGTCCGGGCAGAGGCCTGGGCAGAACACGCAGCTGCAAGTGCTCCCTCAGAGCAGCAGGGCACATGGGGGACAGGAAGGAGCCCAGGATTTTCTAAAAAGCAAAAACCAAAACCAGAGCACGTGAGTTCAAAGGAGTGAGGACGGAGTGGAATCCCAGCCGGAAGGGCCGGCTTCCCTCAGAGGGAGAAGCTGCTCTCAGAGGGTGTGGCCCACAGGGTCAGCCCAGCCCAAGCCCTCTGACCTGCTTGTCCGGCTTCTTCCTGGGGCGGGTGAGGGTCCAGGCAGCCCCTTGCCCCTCCTCAAACCTGCCCCTTCCCCGGCCAGCTCTTCGGGTGGCTGCTCATCGGCGTGGTGGCCATCCTGGTGTTCCTGACCAAGTGCCTCAAGCACTACTGCTCGCCGCTCAGCTACCGCCAGGAGGCCTACTGGGCGCAGTACCGCGCCAGCGAGGACCAGCTCTTCCAGCGCACGGCGGAGGTGCACTCCCGGGTGCTGGCCGCCAACAACGTGCGCCGCTTCTTCGGCTTCGTGGCTCTCAGCAAGGAGGACGAGGAGCTGGTGGCCAGGTTCCCGGTAGAAGGCACACAGCCTCGGCCGCAGTGGAATGCCATCACCGGTGTCTATCTGTACCGCGAGAACCTGGGCCTCCCGCTCTACAGCCGCCTGCACAAGTGGGCCCAGGGTCTGACGGGCAACGGGGCAGCGCCCGAGACCGTGGAGATGGCCCCGCTCGCCTCCTAGGGGTCTGGTCCCCACCCTCTCTGCAGGGACGGTACTTGGTCTCAAACTGAACTCCATGCCTGCTCCCACCAGCATCAGAAGGGTTTTTTTTTCCCACTTGGGGGGGAAACAGGCCAGGAGCCAGGAGCACAAAGTAGCTTGGGGTGTGGAGAGTGAGCAGACAGTGGGGTCCACTCCAACAGGAAGGCCCCAGCTCTGAGGAAATCCCCTCTCCCGCTGACAGCAACCACTCAGTCAACAGCTTGAGAGAAAAGACCCTTCTGTAGAACTGGTCCTTCCGTAACTATGATGTGGACGACCTTTTACTGATGGGACTCCGAGCCTTGGCAGCCCTGGCCAGCGGAGCCAGGTGACAGGGAAGCTCACCAGCAGACGCCTCGTGCGGGACACCGTGTGGTTAATGTACACATGACTGACGTGGTTACCTGGCTCAGGGGCGCTCAGCCCGGAGATGCCCTCCAACATCTGGCTTTATTTTATATACTTCAATTTTTGATAAAGTTTTTCTTAGTACAAAGCACTAGCTTGGTGTCTGCATGATTGGATGGGCCATGCCACAGTAGGCTGGTAGTCATGGAGACAGGCCCGAATCCCATCCCCTTTGTGGGAGGGGTGGGGGACAGAGAGACCCTGGGTGAGATTAAAATGGATAGGAGGGAGGACAGGGGTAAAGGGAAAAAGCCAAGTGTTGGGAAGGCCCTATGGCTGATGATGTCTTGACAATTAGATTCAGTTATCTGATTTGATTTGAGGAGGTGAAACCTGGCCTTTCTCAGAGGGAAAATTGGCTTCAATTTCATGAGTCAGAAGATTGCACACTTGTATGGCAGACTGGCTCCTACAGTCTGTGCTAACGCCCAAAAACCAGGACAGCCTCAGCTGGGCCTCTCCCCCCATCCACACACGCCCACCCTTGTCTGGTCACCTCCCCCACCTCTAAAACCTTTGATGCTCTCCCTGTCCTGCTTCCCAGCATTCGACCCAGTCACTTCCCATGGAAAAGCTCTCCCACTCTCAGGGCACATAAAGCTCTCTGCCAAAGAAAACATTTAACCCCCTTAAGAACAAGCTGAACAGGAACTGGCTTCAACAACTACAGGGTCTGCGCTGGTGTCCAAGAATTCTGAAACATACAGGATTATTACGATCAAAGGAGACAGAGTCCATCTTTCTAGGAAGTTTACAAGGGTCACAGGGAGGTATGGGTGTAGTGGACCCATCCTGTCCCCATTCCCTCCAGTCTCAAGGAAAACCATCAATGCCCTCCACCCAGCAACCTCTTCCCAGAGGAGCCACAAGGAGAAACCGTGCAGTTCTTCCCAGCTCACACAGCATGGCAGTCTACACCCTAACCAAGCCTCCTACCCGCAGGCCCTGTGGCAGCACACAAACATACATTCTCATTCCATCCACAGAACAACTCTTCAGAGTAGGACTTTTTGTCCCCATTTCAACAAATAAGACACCCACCCTGGAGACCTTAGATAATCGGGGCCTGGTGAGCCTGGGAGGAAACACCACCAGGTAATTTAAGCTAATACCTATGGCTTTCCTCTCAAATGGCCCGGCTCCCCAATGGTCCTTCTCCCCAAAGGGGTCTGCCTTTGTCCTCCTGTCCCAGCCTCATGTACTCCACAAAAGGGCACAAGAACTAGCTGAGCTCAGGTTGAGGGAATGCCCAGAGACTCCGAGATCTAGGGGAGAAGGCCCGCTCCCTGGGCTCTGCTGACTCTCTCTGGCTGGACCAAGAGGCTGCCAGGGCCAAAGAGGGATCCTGACCACAAGATCGTCAGGAGTCAGCCCCTCCATTCCTCCTCCCCAGGAAACCCCCAAGAGGGAGAGAGTCTTCGCTCTTTTAGGAGTCCAAGAGCCTGCTGTTTATAGCAACCTCAGAAAAAGGGAAAATGGGCACCTGGATAGCTCAGTCAGTTAAGCGTCCGACTCTTGATTTCAGCTCATGATCTCGGGGCTGTGAGATCGAGCCCCATGTTGGGCTCCACGCTCAGCGGTGAGTCTGCTTGAGATTCTCTCTCTACCTCTGCCCCTTCCCCCTCGTATGTGCTTTCTCTCTCTTGTTCTAAAAAAAGGGGGGGGGGGATGAAATAAAGCAGTACTAAAATAAAACATGCAAAAAGGAATTATAGGAAAGCTCAAATTGTTTTTCATCCTGACAGGATTACCATAAAGTTGCTGCAGAAAAAGCAACACTTAAATAAGAGTCCTCAGGCAACACAGTTTTCCGGCGGCCCAGGGGCCCGAGACTCAGCCGGGCTGGCTCACTGCTGACGTGGTCATCCGAGGCCAGCTTGGCCACTAGTCTTCCAACACGGAGCTCTTAGCTTCCACGTATTCCAGGGCCTTCGCCTTTACTGCCTGCACATCCTTCTCAGTGCCATGTTGTTTCTCATAGTCCAGGTAGCGCTTGAAGAAGAATTTCATTCGCTTGGGGGCCAGGCTGAGATGAATGACCCGTTCAAAGATGTCCCTGTGGAGAAGAGCAAGGCAGCATTTGCCTCCCGCCCCCGGCCACTTGACCGCTGACTAGTTTTCGTCTACTTGCCCTGCGGCTCTGCAGCCAGGCCCCCTGTTCCCCAGCACCCTCACTCCTACCTTTACATTTACTACCATCATAACTCCTAAGGTGTCCATGGGGAGAGAGACTACCACCCTCACTTTCCAGATCAGACAGACACTCATGGGTGTTAAAAGGACTTACTGGCCTGAAGTCACACAGTGAGTCAGGACAAAGCCGCTGGGATGGGGATATACACAAGGTAGGGATCTGTGAGAAGAGCTCTGCTTCAAACTCACTGATGGGCTTGGGCGAGGCACTAGTTCTTTCTGGACCTCAGTCCACCTGTCTCTAACCCTCTCTGCCCCTTTGGGGATGCAGGTGACAACAGCAAGCCTGCGACCATTCTCTTCCACAAGAGCCAGGCTCAATGAATTATGTGGGAAACCCAAGTCTTCTGACCCCCACACCAGGGCCAGCCTACTGCTCATCCAAGACTCCAGACACAGACCAGAGGCTGGCTCCTGAGGCAGCAAAACAAGTTGGAAAATGAGTACCACAGGACCTGGTATGTCATGTCAAAGCTAGTCTTCCAGTCAGTGAGAGAACTGGGAATACTAGAAGATTCCAGGGGGTAAAACTCATACACTTGGCCCACATCCCCAACCTTTCACAGTTAATTCAGCCCTGGCCTGTCTTTGCCTCTCACCGGACTTCCTTCTGGCTGCCATGCTTAATGGTCATGTCGATGTAAACCGACCAGACGTCAGTGCGCTTCGGGTAGGTGCTCAGTGTGTTCTCAAAAATGGCTTTGGCCCGTTCCGCATCCCCCAGCTGGAACTCCAGCTGGGCAAACTTGGCAATCACATCCACATCTACAGGGAGAGACAGCTCAGACACACAAAGCAGAGAGTCCCCTCCCCACAGCATAACGTGCTACACGGACAGTCTGACTCCTGACTCCCTATTCATAGGTTCCAAGACCTAGGTGATGACAAGTGAACACTGGGAAAGTTTGGGGCCAAATACACAAATGGGCACTGATGTAGGACTCCCACTGCAGACACCCCACTCTCTGGGCTCAGAAAGGAGATGGGGCAGGGGCAACAAAATCAGCACTGATTATTTTTTGTTCCTCCATCTCTAAAAGTTTAGCATTTGAAATGCAACACATGTGATGTTCATGAGCATATAATCAACAGTGAGATCCATGCCCTCCACCAGGCTTTCCTAATACCACACCACCCTCAGATGAGAAAACCTCCAATCCCTACGCCCAGATATCACAGAGCATAATGTGACCAGGAATGGGGCTGGAGGCTAGGGATGAGCACTCACGCTCTTTAATGGGCAGACACTCGAGAGCTCGCTGCATCACACGGTGACTGGCCCCAGCCTGGCCCCTCCGCAGAAGAAAGGCGCCATATTTGATCCAGACAGCTTTCTCCTGCCTGAACCGCTTCAGCATCCGGTTGTAGAGTTCACCAGCTTCCTGTGATTTGAAGTGTGATAGGACAGAGGGGGCAACAACAGAGACAGGGAGAATAACAAATGACAGACAGCTATGCTCATAAGAGGCTAGACATGGCCTCAGGCTCTGGTCACTCTGTAGGCGCCACTCTAGATCCTGAGGAAAGCAGGCAGGTTCCCAGAGATGGGGAGAGCACAGAAAGGGCCTAACAGGGTAGGGAGTCCCCCTACTAATCCTGTGCTGTATGGAGGTCCTAAGAGTAGAAGAACATGAGAATGCCAAGGGAGAAGAGGAGAGACAGAAAAGGGACATGTGGCTGAGCTGCTGCCTTGTGGCTGTATGTCCATGAGATACACGACAGGGGTCCACTGTCCCCTTTACTTCCCTCATCTTTGCCCTGCCTTCCTAAAGCAGACACGGGAGGAAAGGACTCCTTGCACTTGGAAGATGAACAAGTTGGGGCCCAGAGGTCACAGAGCAAGCCTGTGTGGAAGACTCTCTGGACTTCCCAGGAATTAGTTTCCGAGTCGCCGAGGACCGCCTGACAGTGGGCCGCCTGGCCCAGACTCCTACCTGGAACTTCTCTGACTTGGCGTAGATGTCAGCCAGATGGAGAAAGACCTTGAGAGGCTCGTTGTACTGCACGGCCCGCTCGAAGACCTTGGTCAGTGACTCCTGAGAGCCGTACATGTTTTCTAGATTCAGCAGCGCCACCCACACGTTCAGCTTCTCCTGCTCCTCTCTGGAGGGAGAGTCCGCACATGAGCTCCATCACCTCCTCCCGAGGAAGCCTGCACTACCACCCAGGGATGCTGCCTGGAACTACTTCTTCCTTCGCAGGCTCCATCCACACCCTCAGCTCCCGCCCTCAAGTGAGCCCGTAGCCCCCGCTGTAGCTCTCACGGAAGCAGGAATGCCCGGCCCTGACTGCTGGGCTTCCCCTGGTGTCTGCCTCCATTCCGAAAAAGGAAGCCCACGGAATTTTAACCTGGCTCAAGGTTTGGCCGGAAAGGAACAGAATCTCTGGTCTGGTTCTGTCTCCAAACTAAGAGAACAAAGCAAAGGCTCGCAGACCCTCCTCTTAGCTGTCAGGAAACTCAGTCTACCCTGTGCCTGGCACATGGCCACTGAGTGTCTGCACCCACCTATGCGCAGTCGTTGTCCCTGTTCTACTTCTGTTCCAAGTTGGGCACCTTATCTAAGCACAGGGACTCCTGTAAGTGTCACCCTTCACTACCTCAGTGAAGAGGACTATAAAATATAAACGAGCAGATCTGTTTCGCTAGGAGCCGAAGCCTGAAAACCCACAGGTGCTGATGGCAGCCACCCAAACTGCTGTTGGCCTCCTGAGGAGGAAACGGTCCACAGGCGACAAGGCCTGCAGCCCGGGGAGACACCTCCCTGTCAAGAGCCACCCCCTACGCAAGCAGGGGGCCAAGCCGAGACCTGAAGGAAATGGTCTTGAGAGCCCTCTCAGCCACGGCCCGGGCCTTCTCGATTTCTGTGGCCTGCAGGTGGAAGGCCATGTACTGTAGCCACAGGATGGAGCTGTTGGGGGAGCTCAGCAGGAGGCGGTCAAAATCATCTGCTGACTCTGGCTGTCGCCCAGGATCCATGAGCGCCTCCTCGATGCGGGACAGCTCTTTCTCTGCCTTCTGCTTCTCCAACTGCCTTTCCTTCTTGCTCTTCTTCTGCTACGGAAGGCACAAAAACTCGTGAGTAACCTGCTCCCCAGGCCACTAAGGCAGTCTGTGCTGGAAGCCAGAGGTGGCAGGGCGGTCCGTGAGCCCTAGGATTGCTCACAGACCTGAGACTGCCCTGCCCCGTCAGAAGGACACTCAGGCCTGGACATAGCAAAGGAGACTGGCCCCCAGGGCTCCCTGCTAAAGGACAAAGCCCTGCAAAATACGCCACCGTGGCCTGCTGAGGCTCGTCGTCCTCCTCGCTGTCTGAGCTGTCTCCTCGAGGTGGTAATGCCGGGGTCAGAGAGTCTAGTCCCACGTCCCAAACGAAACCAGAGGACAGCTGGAGCCGGGGTGCTTCTGCTGGCCTGGTCAGCTTCTCCTGAAGGATCACAGAGGTTTGTGAGGAAAGCACTCAGCTCGGGCTGCACCCTGTTTCCCGAGGAGCCAGGGCCCCCACCACGCACAGAGACCTTCCTCTCCTCCCAGGGCCAGGCTATGCCAGGCCCACTCCTCTGGAGAATTACATAGTAGTGATGTAAAAGATTTCCTTGTAAATAAATTCATTTAGGAAACAAGCTTATAAAACATACGTATGTAAAGACAAATCAAAAAATCCCATACATATGTGTATTCCTACGTACGTTCTTGTATGAAGTACCATATGTGTATAACGTGATAGCGGAGCTGGGATAGAGACGTGACAGGCGTTCCAGGGGTGTAGGGATATGAGTACCTAACGTCTGGGCAGCACTTCCACAATCAGGCCTCTGTCCAAATGGTACCGTCCTCATCTTTCAGAGGGAGATACAGGCTCAAAGAGGTTAAGCCTTTATTTGCCTACCACACTGATTTAATTCCACTCTACTCAACAAACACTGATGAGAACTTATTTTATGCAGCCCACTCCTTGGGTAAAGCAGGGTCTCTGTCCTCAGGAAGCTAATGACCAAGTGAAGACCTAGCAGCCCTGCCTTAGGCCATGGGAGAGAAGAGGACGAGCCCAAGACTACCCAGCTCTCAGGCAGGGGACCAAGGACCTCCCTCCCCAGCACAGCCTGTCCACCCCCACTCAGCGCTGTCCCTCACCTTGGGGAGCACACTCATCTCTTCCATCTCCTCTTCTCCCTCCCGATAGTACACTTCAACACCACTGTCATCCTCCTCTGACGGAGCAACTTTCTTCTGCTTCTTGTTCACTCTTTCCTGAGGTCAACGGGGCGGGGGCGGGGTGGGGGAGAGATGGCGAGCCGCCCTCCTGCCCC